TTTGCATATCTAATGAGTAAATTTCAATGATTAGACATTGGGCTCACAATGAACAAACTCAATGAAATTATTATTAACTAAATTTAAATAAATGAAAACTGAGTTCTAGATGAGCAAATACAATCCCATCCTTAAAGAGGAAATTTAAATATATATATATATATATATATATACATATATATTGCATCCTTAATAAATTAGTTTAATTGCATTCTTAATGAGTAAATTCGATAGAATCTGTATTGACTTTTCATGACCAAACGCATGTGTATTCCTAATGAGTAAATTCGATAGAAATGATATTGAATTTCTTATAACCAAACTCAATTGCATTCCTAATAAGTAAATTCAATAGAATCAATATTAAGTTTCTTATGGTCAAACTCATTAGATGCTGAGTTTGTGTTGAGTTTAAATTGACTTTATAGGAATGCATTAGAAACTCAATTGAAACTCATTGATTATTTTTGTAAGAATCGTTTCAGTTTGGTGAGCAGTGTACATGTGATGGAAAAAAAAGGATCATGATCAATTGGCCAATGAACTAAAATATGTTCAGTTTTGAGTTCGTTGTTTCATTTCTCCTAGAGCATTATCGAAGGCAACTACTATCATATGGTAGACCACTTAAAACGAAATTGCAATTTCGCATTAATTGGGGGGAAGGGGGTTTGATTTCGAAAACCGTTCTGAAAAAGAGCGCCGGAAGTTCATCCCTCAATGAAGCTTAGAGGAGGGGCGTACGGTCGTTTCAGTCACGTCGTCACTACCTCGGCATCCACAGGGACGTACTTTATTCTTTTTTCTTTATTCAAGGATTACCCCCCAGTGCCCGAGGGCGTTACAGTAGGGTAATTACAGCGCTGGAAAAAAAAAATCTTCATTTTCAGTGCACACTTGACGCTCCGACAGCCCATTCCGCTGTTGTATCGTTTTAACAAAAAAAAAAAAGTAAAAAAAAGAAAACGAGTTGGCGTATACGTTCATCCTGGCGTGGTACTATCTAATTTTGAAAGCATGATCGTTCCGTTTAGAAAAATATAATGGTTCTTTTAAATGAGTTTCACCGTTAATTTCAGTTTTATTTTTAGATGTCGAAAACAGAAACTTTAAATGCAGTCTTTTTACGGCGGGTTGAGAGAGGTTCCCAATTCAGTTCAGTCTTCATTTAAGTACAGCTCTCTCTCCGCCCGTACCGTCCCAGAACGAACCTAGCAGCTCTATTTCTTTTTTTTTTTAAAGTTCGTCTATTAAGATTTTTTTTTTTTGTTCCGGGTTCCAGAGGGCGCAGGCATATTCTAAAATCGGCCTGACACAAGTTAAACACGGGGTTAACTTTAGGTTAGGGAGTGAATATTTTAGGATTCGTTGAATAAAGTTTTATGCAATGCCAGCCTTTACAATCACGCCATCCAGATGTGAATTCCACGAACGGTCAGTTGATATCGTGACACCTAAGTATTTATACTTAGAGTCCTTGTTTACTATATTGTTATTTAAATAATACTGTGTTTTAGTTTTCTTCTGTTTAGTAAAGACATAAATGCACACCCTTTTTGGGATCTAACGTCTTTTTCCATGTAGAGAACCACGTAGTAATGCATTCCAAATCTGTTTGTAAGTGGGTGGCATTATCTTTGCTACTAATTTTTTTTTTGTGCATCACGCAATCGTCGGCAAACAACCCAACACAATATGAAATTCCAAAAGATATATCATTGGTAACTTTCAGCATTCACTAATAAACACTGACAACGCTCTGGGAAATAATTTTAGATCCATCTTAGTGCCGTCAAGTCAATATTAAACATCTTAAGTTTATTGAGCAGAAGTGAATGCGAAACGGTATTGAAAAGGCCTTGCGAAAATCTAGGAATATACAATCCCTTTGGCCTCCCTCATCCACATCAGATGACAAGTGATGATAAAATTCCACATGTTGCATGGTGCAAGATAAGCCTTTACTGAAACCGTGCTGTTACTTAGGTAATGTTTTTTTTTTGTCATATCATTTATCATTTCAGCGTATAGAATATGTTCTATGACCTTCCATGACATGTAGGTTAATAAAATAGGCCTGTAGTTTTCGACATCTTTCCTAGAACCGCCTTCGTGAATAGGAATTCTGCGAGGCGCTCTTTTAGTTGTTAGGCAAGAAACCCCCAGATGGAGATTTCGCAGAAATCAAATAAAGATAGAGCGAAATCAAATGAGCACAGCGCTTAAGCACACGAGGAGATATGCCATCGGGGCCATTTGCCTTAGTCGCGTCGATACTCTTTAGTAGCACTTCAATACCAGTCACGCTTAGTTCGACTAACTGCACTATTGGCACAGAGCTTACGGGTGATAAACAATTGAAGTTTTATTTGGGTGAGAAAAAAGATTGAGAATAATTATTTAGGCACGAAGCTTTTTCTGCATTATCTATAATTACCTGCCGGTCAGGCACGTAGCCAGGATGTCGTTTCGGGGGGGGGGGGGCTCGCTTAGACAAAATGCTGTATGAGAGGGAGGGGGGAGAGGAGGTCCCAGCAAAATGGAAGATTTTGGGGGGTGGAGCGGGTCTCATGGGCCCCCCCTTCCCTGGCTCCCTGGCTACGTGCCGTCTGCCGGTTATAGGTATCAATCAATCAATCAATCAAATCTTTATTCAACATCGCACAGATGTTGGGGGCGCAGACAAAAAGCTTGACTAAAGGTCTGCGCCCCCTACAAAAACTTAGCATTGCAACAGGGGCGCGTCATAACAAAATTAGATAATCAGATTGCAGATCGAAACACTGTATGAGCGGTATAGCAACAGAAAAAAGATAACATACTGTGACTTGCAAATGCTAACCAACATGTAATGTCGTTTATTCCTGCAAAAACTGGTGCCGCAGCTCTGTAAGTATTGCCAAAACCTTTTGGCATCCGCATTCCTTTTCATCCCATCGTTTAGTCTACAAAAATCATTTTCCTTAGAACTTTTTCTGTTCAACTTTTATTCCCTAGGTATACCTCAGCCAGAGCTGGCAGTTATGCAATTACTGTAATGAAATTACAGTAATTTTATTACTTGTTTCAGTAATTAGTAATGTAATTCATTACTTTTTGTAGCAGGTAATTTAGTAATGTAATGAATTACTCCAGCGACGGTAATTGTAATTAAATTACCTAATTACTTTTTCGCACCAGGCATATTTTTTGTGTCCACAATACACAAGAGCGCTTTTCTTTTTATTTTACTTTTTCTTTTTCCTCTACACCTTTCCAGAAACGCTCTTCGGCCGCCGCTATGTTGCTGATGCTAATGCGGCTGGTACGACTCTCGCGCCCGCTATCAGCTAGACATTCTCTGCCACTCTCTTGAACTGTGAAAACCCGCTCAGCGCGATTCTCTACCTATGTTTTGCGGTTTTGCATTCGACGTTTTCTGGCTCCTCTTGAAAGTTTCCGCTTACTTTTTCTGATGCATACTGCGTACCCTCTCTGTGTTATCTTCCAGTGTGAGAAATAGGGCTGGTAAGTGCCTTACATTCCGAGCTTTTCTGCTCGACATTCTCGGGAAACGAAGGAGGGGAAGTAGGTCGAGCTAAGGCCCTCGACGCGATTTTGCGAACAATGACAATTGTCCCCCCCCCCCCCCCCCAAAGATAATCCGCGTAGGGTCTTCAGTCATCTCCAAAAATAGTTGTCCGGGTTGGGGTGGGAAGCGGATCAGTCGCGTGCGTTCCTCTGTCCATCGGTAAACATGCAACAGAGAGTTCTAGCTGTGTGCCATGAACTGTATAAATAATGTAAATAATGTTATCTGTAAAGGGAAGTTATCAATAGCTCCTTTATATTTAAAATTATACAAAAGTAATGCGAAAGTAATGTCATTACTTTTAAAAGTAATTTGTAATGGTAATTAATAACTTTCTGGCTGTGGTAATTTGTAATGTAATTTAATTACATTTCAGCAATTTTCAGCAAAGTAATTAGTAATGTAATTTAATTACAAAATATGAGTAATTTGGCCAGCTCTGACCTCAGCAAGCTCCTCTAAGTGATTGTTAGTTTTGATTTTCGTTTTAATCTAACAAATGCTCGCCTACGTTTTTTTAATTATTCCAAGGACACGTGAAATCACCCATGTTTTTTTTTTTTTTTTAAGAATTGTTTAATCTATTCTTGGGATATACTTATTCGTTAGTTCAAGTAACTTCTTTTAAAACACCGACCATAATGCGTGTATATCATAATCATCAGACAGGCACTCAGAAACAGGCGAGTGGTCAAGAATTTCTCTGGAAATACTACAGTAATCACATTTCTTAAAGAAAACGACTCTTCTTGATGCACACGACTTCGACCGATGATTTTCAGTTTTGTGCGTGCAACAACCGCGACGTGATCACTAATACCCGGAATGACATCTACCGAATCACGTCTGCCTAGATAGCGCCGACTGGATTAAAACTACTTACGCAAAGTCGACCTAATCACTTTAAACCCCTCTAGTGTGAAGTGCAATCAAGCGTCAAGTAGGAAGATTAATAAAGTGAGTTTTATCTTACTTCTATATCGTGGGAATGGACCCTTTCGCATTTGCGACATTACCAGTTTAAAATAAAAAACTAAAAACACGCCTAAATAAATTTACATGCACACCTCTTGTAATATCATAAGTTATGGATCAACTTGCTCAGCTTCAACCAGTAACACGGACCTTTTTTAAGTCCCTATGTTAGGTCCCTATGAAACATCATTGATGACGCCCATTTCTTTGGCATAAAGAGTGTGATCGCATCTGTGCCCCCGCCGAACGCTCACGCAGCACTCGTTTTGGATTCGAACTGAAACAAATTTACGCCGAACGCTGAACCACCTCTCGTGTCTAATACATGCTCAGAGTACGCGCAGAAAGAATTGGCGAGCTCGAATAATTTGCGCTCCTAAATGGCGCGCAATTTTAAAAAGGATTTAATTAACTTGGTAAAATGTGCTACCCGTGACTACAGACCAAACAAAGGTCTAAAATAATAATTTTATTTCGAGCACACACCCAAGTTGTTCGTTCACCCCAGCGCGACGACGACGTTTTACAAGGGACTACGTTATACCGGTCGTAATATACATGTACGTGGCACGTAGTACAGCGAGTACGTAGTACAAGGAGTACGTAGTGCCGGTCTTAATAGTGGTCAGGGGAAGGCTTTAACCTTGAATTTCGTAGTTTGGTTATTTTTTCTTCCTGTTATTTCAGTAAGGCATTGTGTATAAATCAGCGTACGTCCAAGCGGTTCTACAAACTCCAATGGCTGATGTCGATGTCTGGAATTTCGGAGCAGTTCACCTTCGGGTTTCTGAAAGAGAAAACAGCGACAAAACAAAACAAAAAGTCACCGAGATTCCTGTTTGTGTAACCAGACTTCGGCAGTATCCCAATACTTGTACTGCGATACTGTGCTTCGTGGTTGTTTGTTTTTTTTTTGTATTTTTTAATCGTAACTCGATACATTTGTAAGTATCTGTAACGATGGCCTAGATGCTTTTTTTTTTTGAAAAGTAACTAAAAAGTACCTGCTAAGTTACAGAAACTTTCGCGAAAAAATGGCCATATTTTTTTTTAACGTTACAGCGGGTTCCACCTAGGTTTTTCATTTTTCGTCGGGGAAAAGTGCCGGCGCAAAATGCAGACGTTCTTCTACTTCCATTTATTTATTTTTTTTTTATTGCGCGAAAAAGCATGCATATTTAGCATTTGCTTTATTTCGGGTTTACTACAGTTGATCGAATGCCAATTCATCGAAGCACGTTTTAGAGAACGGGCTTGTTTTATCGAAGCACGGGTTATAGAAAGCAGAGACACAGTTTAGAGAAACGCCGTTTATCGAAAAGGGAACGATATTTGGAAAAGGCTTTCCTACTTCACGCGTGCATCACTGGTGCGCGTGTTAACCCAAGCCCCGTGCTGCGCTACCGCCGCTTCGCGGCGGCAGTTTACGGCCGCTCATTAAAAAAATGTTAACTCACCTGATTTACCCGTTCATGCCGCATCGCGGCGGCCGAGTTCGCTAAAAGGAAGCTCATCGCCATTTTCTCTAAGCTGGATTTCTCTATAAATGGATTCGATAAACTGGGGTTTGTAAAACGGCGTTCGCTAAAATGAGCTTCTCTAAACCGCTTACTCCTCTTTATTTCAACCTTTTTCTGTGTGGATCTCTCGCCCCTGTATTCCCCCTTTCCGCCTTCATTGAACAGCTCCGCCTCTTCAACCAAGCGACAGAGCAACCTCGCGGAAACACGCAACGCATAGACGCCTAAAGGATCTGTTGTACTCCAACGTTGAGCGAAGCCAACGCAGCGTAGTGCAGAACACGCGGGATATCTGCGACCTATGAGTAAAGAGTTTTATTAGTGGCTTTTAGTACTAGGTATACGAGCAAACGCGAGCCCTCTCCGTTTGCGTTAGCGTTGACTCCGCGCACGCGCACACTGCGCGTGCGCGGTGCCCAAACCTCGGCCTTGGACAGGCGCATCGCGACTTCGGGCATGCGGAGAGTGGAACACGCAACGCAAACGCGCAGCACTTGTATTTGCTCGTATACGGAATACTAAAACTAACTAGTATTGTGTATACGAGCGAACGCAAGCCCTGTGCGTTCGCGTTAGCATTGCGTGTTTCACACTGCGCGCGCGCGGAGCCCAAACTGTGGCCTTGGATTGGCGCGTGGCGACTTCGTGCGTGCGCAGCATGGAGAACGCACCGCGAACGCACAGCGCTTGCGTTTGCTCGTATACGCAGAACTAAAACTCACTAGTTGTGTGCGCCGCACCACGTCGCTTTTGCTACGCTCGGCGAAAGGCTTAAAGCGAAAAATAGGGACTCTAACCAAAAATTTAATAAACATTTACCCGACGTTTCGGGATCAGTTCGGTCCCTTGTTCACGGGTTAATGACGAAAAGGAAATGACACGCGACGCCTAAATGCACATTCGGATGTAGGGGGCTTTGCTCACGTCACGCAGTCCCGAGACGTAGCTGCTGGGCAGGGAGCCCGAAGAACGATTCACGTTTCCCTTTGTGTGCTGGATAAACCAAGACTCAACGAAGAGCCGCTTTCGCCAATTTCTTTCCCAGGCCAGCACGGTGCCTCCCTCGGAGTCGACTGTGTGGCCGGCTGCTTCTGCATGCTCCGCGAGGGAGCTTGCCTCCACATCCTTCTTCCGGACATCATATTTGTGTCGCGGAAGCCTCCCTGCGAAGCTCTTACTTTCGCCAACGTATGAGGTCGGGCAATCTTTGCATCGTATGCAGTAGACCAAGCCTTGGGCCCGTTGTTTTTGTGCCGATTCTTCGGTAGGGGGAGGCGATGACCGATTGTCGACACGGGCTTATGAGTCACCGCAATCCCGCAGCGACCGAGGACGTCGGAAAGGGCCTCGCTGGTGCGGCTAATGTAGAGGACAGATACCCGATCGGAAGGGGTAATATCAAGGTAATAAATATAAATATTATTTATTGTGCGTTGTTATACCATCCCTGTAATCTTTGTGAGATTCTTATCCCTGGCTAAACCAGTCGCGCACACACACAAAAAGTGCCGGATTATGGTGCATTCACTGTGTATGATGGGTTTGGCATGCGATAGCGAACGCAAACAAAGTAGACGATTTTGGCACCGTTTCATTGGCTTCATCTCGCCGTACTGTCGGCCGCGGTTGGACTTATTGTGAAATGTAGCAGAGTGACATTGCTGTATTAGCTGATAAAAGAAGTTGAATAACTAATCACAAAAAAAAAACTATGGCAGAGATTGTTAGTCACACCCTGCGTCTGTTGAGCTGCAGTGTCTCTGACAGAGATTAAGGACAAGAATGCGGAAACAAGAGGTCAAAGACTTCCGTTTTTTTTTCTTCTTTTATTTGAAGCTTTTCTTACGCAACCCAAATTTGCGAAATATTACTTTATTTCGTTTGTTTTGGGAATTTCCGTTTAGACACATGAGATCATGGTGCTGTGACGTTTTATCGACATGTTACTTGTGTCTACTCCTTACTTATACAGTGCACCTATTAACGTTATATTTAATAAGAACGAGATAGTGTAAGAGAAGAGAAAGGGAGAAAGTAATTGTAGCTCAATGGTCACTGACATCTTTAGGAAAGGAGGGTGAGCCATCTTAACGCTTCTTGCTTCGTGATTGGTTCGTATGCATCCTTGTTAGCTAATGATGCAGTTTCGCGGTTCATGAGTAATAATATATGCGATGCCGTGTGACTCACCATATGCATCGTTTCTAAAGTTGTCAATGGATAGAGTAATCACGCACCATGATGCGTACTCACCCTGGGCCCTCCGGAATGAATGGATTTCTCTGGACGGCAGTGATGCTCCTGCTGTTTGCGCAGATGATGCTTGCATACGTCGTGTTTCTCAGAGAGTTCAGTTGAGCTGCAGGATAATGCGGTCTAAGTTACGGCTGCAGTCAGTCAGTGCGGGCTGTGTTCTGGAGCTTGGCATTTTCAGAAACTTCTGCTAGCATTCAGCCCTTTTAGGCGCTGGAAGCATTAATAATCGGTATTTGTTTAATAGGATTTTGCCTACGAAATAGGAGCGCTATTTTGTGCCTCTATGATCTTGCTGTCAGGGTGGCGAGAAAGTGTCTGTTCTTTTTGACACTCGCAGGCAATAAAGTGTTTTATTGTTTCTTTTCGCTTAACAAAGCGGATTAAAGGAGTGACAAGATTTGGTCCCCTAAGCTCACTGCTGCGAGATCGTGTACTCAGGGACTTCTCACAGTGCGCTTTAGAAAACATTGCCCCTTGATAGCTCGTGGGATGACTAAAAAATTTATATGCTGTTACTTCAATTGGCTTAAAACAGAATAAATTAAGAGCTGACTTCAAGCCGCAATCATTTGCTATGGTCGAGATGCGAGCCAAGAAAATTGAGAAATCGTTTTAGATCACTCAAAAATTTTAGGTTTTTCTTTTTGGTGTACAAAAACACACTGAAACGACATGTAACAGTTTATTGACTGAAAAATTAACCTTGGTAGGCTACACGAGATTCGCTTGCTCTCTCTTTCTTAAAATCTATGACAAATGGAAACCGCTCACCTCAGCTCGAAGCGTTTGCGCTCTCTAACATCGAACACGTAAAAAGGCCTCACTACTCTACGTCTCAGAACACGTGGCTCCTTCACATTCTGGTCTCTATAATGCGCACTATGCGCACTATGGTTTGGTCTTTGAAATCTAACCACGGGTGTATATACTTTCTACACGCTGTTAAGTATTTCAGCTTGGGTTTCCATGAAGAAAGTACTTGATCATTATTTGTTCCGAACTTTGACTCAAAGCCCTTCACTCTATTTTTTACAAAACGACTTCTCTTCAATGCGTACATAGTTTGTTCACGAGCGCTTGTATGCGTAATTGCCAGATGCTATAAAAGTGCCTGGGAAAAAGTGCCGTATCGGTGAAAGCTCTTTGGGGCTAGAGTAGAAGACGTGGGCGGTCTAATCTGGTCATAACGGGCAAAGCACAGCTTGAGTGACTGATTCCTCGCGTTCAAACTGCGCTTCGGATTCCTCTCGATTTTTCGGTTATCTGGCGTCTACCGTTCTAGCCAGTATCTTGTTGATCTCCATATACAACACCTAAAAAAAGGATATTTTTATTAAAGCAGGGTTATATACATTTTTTTTTCTTCCAGAGTCAAGCTTACAGGCGAATCGGAGTGAGACAGAGCGAGTGGCAACACCATTTAAAGATGTTTGACCGCCCAATTTTTACTTGCTTGTAGCAAGAAAGTTTTGTTCACGTACTCTCTTGCATTTGAAACATTCAGTCTAAACACTATAAACGTTTCTGCTAAAGATACAGCACATACCGTCGTCATCAACTAATTAAAGCATCAAGCCAAACGACGGGTATGTTCAAGGGTTTACAGTCAGTCATTTTGGACTAGAGGATTAACCACACGTGAACAATCAAATTGTAAGAGTAGGATACCTTCCGTGAACGATCCTGCCTGGTCCGCATGTTCGTAGAAGAACCGATCACCCCACTTAAGCCTCTGAAACACTCTATTTGTGATGCAGTGCACCGTGGCACTAGCGACGGTTCCTTCGACGAGGTGCTCCGCCAAGGCCCCGGAAAACAAATCTATATCACTGACGTTCCTGCGTGAAGTGAAAGATAATAAAATTGGGGTTGTCTGAATTTTAGGAAAAATGTTTAAGTCGCTCGAAGACGCATCGACAGCACTCACGAACGTTATAGTGAGACGTGTATAAGCGGGGGGGGGGGGGGGGGGGGGTTAAAACATGCTGCGATATCTCCAATGACAAGATCTGGTAACAATACCATGCGTACGTATAAACGTCTGCGTAGTATAGGGAATTGCTCTCGTAGTTATCGGGATGATCTACTAAAATTTGATAATCTTCTATTCACTTGCGTTAGTTCGAAGATCGCATTAGGCGGAAGGAGGTTTTTAATGGGAGATGTCAACTATGTGCAGAACATATAAGAGGCATGGTTCCTCGATATAAAAATGAAGAAAATAAAAGAGGAAGAGATGGAAATTAGTAAGGGAAAGCAGGGAGGTGCAACACGACGTACTGCATCTGCTTCGCTGGTGTTGTGGGCATACAATAAAGCGAGCAGTATAGTTGTAGCCTAAACGTAGATGTACAAATTCACTCACATTTGGACGTCATCGATTTCGCGCGTTTGTGCAGATGCACACGTCGAAATCAAAATGGTCGATTATCGCGGTAAAACATTCAAGGATTACAATATATAGCTATGAACATGTACTATATTGGAATTGTGTTAAGTAATCCTAACATAACCTTGCGTAACCTAATTTAACTTAATCAAATGGAGCCTGAAGGGTTAGGAAAAGCTCCCTGTAAATGATATCTAAAGACCAAGTTAATTCTAGATTCTAAAAAATGTCTTCGAAAATATTACTTGTAGAGATTCTGGAATATCTCCGCCGTCTCCTTGGGCATCAGGTTCTTCAGGTAGAGGTCGTCAAAGGTGTTTATCTTGACCCCAGAGCAGAACTCGACGTAGTCTGGGTAGCCTCTGACGCCAAGGTCCCGTCCCCGTTGGACGTCGACGGAAATTATGTCAAGGCCGAACGTGTCTGGCGGTTCTATGAACAAGTACTGATTGATCTCGGGACTTGCGAACCTGTGGCGAGATTCGGTGTTACAACAAAAGCGAACAGAATAGTCAGGAAGCTGAGAAACATCCTGCTCTTTTAAGCAGGCAGACATAAAGGTACAAACAAAAAAATGAAAGCCGTTTACAACACCCTGTAACCCCTAATTAGGGCGCAGCCCTTGAGGAGGAGCAGGAAAGGGTACTGAAGGGAGGGTATACCCCTTCTCCCTCCTCCTCACCTCCTCATCCTACTTGCTACTCCTCCTCCCTCCTCTTCCTCCTCCGCCTCCTCCCCTCTTCCTTTCCTCCCCTCATCCTTTAAGCTCCTCCTCCCTCCTCCCCTTCCTCCTCTTCCCCACTTCTTCTCCTCCTCCTCTTCCCCCTCCTCCTCTCTCGTCCCTCCCCTTTCCCCCTCCTCCTCCCCTTCCTCCTCCTCTTCCACTGCTACTCCCCTCCCCCTCGCCTTCCTTACTCTCCTCCTCCTCCCCGCGCGGTGCATCATGGGAAATGTCCCATAAATGCACCGCGCGGTTACGCTGACAGCAACGGCGACGCCACTCAAGCCGGAAACGGGCGCCAAAGAGCTGCATGCGCTCTAAAACACAGAGGTAGACAAATATAACGGGATGACTTGAATGAGTACCGTTTAAAAGTTTGAGATCAAAGTAATTCCGTTTAAGTACGCTTAGACAGCATGAAAGTAGACCCAATGGTGCGTCAAGTATCGCCGCTGAAGATGAGAAATTTAGTCAGTGAAATACGTCTGCTATATCTTGGTGTCTTCAACGTGCATGACGCATTAATGATACACCACCGCAGGCTGTTGCGATGCTCATTCAGATCAAAACAAGCAGAATTGAACCCGGGATCCCTGGGATTCCGGAGCGCGAGCTTTCGGTCAACTTGGTCCAAGCTGCGGTGCGGAAACATACTCGACTGCCTGTCCCACTGAGGCCAAAAACTCGTAGGTGTTTTTTTTTATATTTATGTATTTACTCACTATTAGGTTGAGTTTCTTCACGAAACGTCGTCTGACAGTATAAAGGTGTCAAATTTACAAAGAAATGTGATACCTGTACAAATATAAATATTTTGTTTTCCTACCCTTTTGTCCCTGCAAATAACGCTTGTTTTATGTTTAATCACACCCTGAGCGTCTTCGTTCGCTGAGATTCTTCAGCTCTTCGCAGTGAATATTAACGTCTGCGTTCTGCAGTAAATATGACGCACAGGCTCCTTCTAGATTAAATTCTTATCATGTGATTTTGTGACAGCGTGAAGCAAAGCAAAATCGTAAAACAAAATGTTGTACATGTTCTTTAAAAAAAAAGGAACGAAAGATCGTTCCTTTTTCTTCTCATTTTCGGAATGCGTTCCCGTTACAAGTTTCATATGTGAAAAAGGAACCCGCTCCGTTACAGTTAAGAAAAATGGAACGTATCGTTGCATGTACCTTGCATTTACAGTTTGCTCATTACCATTTTTAGCTAAATCGAGGAAAGTTTTATATATGCATATGGGTGATTTCATCTCAACTCAAGCAGAAATTTTAAGTCGAATTTTTAATTTTTCTTTTTAAAAATACATGTTATCGGGTAATTCTTATAATAAAAGAAGACCCAAACGGCACGTTTGTCGGATTTTTTGTTCTGAAGTTGAAGCGGCTAAGGTGGAAACTGTCGCTTTTCCAGCTTATCGGGGGTGATATATTTCACTCCATCCCTTTTCCTTACTTTCTACGCTACATCCATATAACATTTTGGGAACACTTTCGACATATGCGTTTTTTTTGCTAATTAAGCGTCTAGGTCATAACATTCTTAGTGTATTTTTTTGTTATTTGTCAAACCGCCTCTATGCAACGATATTTGACGAAGTTCAGCAAGCTGCGCTGTCTGACCTAACCAACATATTTTTATTACCTTTACATCACCGTAAAGCTCCTATTTAGCTCTTTCTTTTGAGTATAATTTCAATATTGTGCAATAAACATATGATGTGCTACATGTGCCTGAAAAAGGAATATTTGGAAAAACTAGCAAGTTTGGAGTCGATTTTCTAAAAGACCCCACCTTTATTTTCTTTTACTTTTAATTAGAAGTTCAATAATATAGTAGTCTATCAGGAACTGCCAACAGAAATTGTAATATAATGTTTGTATGGCTGCTATTATGGCTCGAATATCGTGCTATGAGCGTTTTGAACGAGACTTTGCACAGGAGCTCTGCTGAACAGAATTTTGGCTTATGTAAGGTTTTCTACTTATCGTTAGCAGTTTTTTTTAGAGAATTCCTCTGGGGCCTTCTGCTTTCAGCTTTGAGTTTGAAATACCGAAATTGATATGTAATTGTCATATTTTCTTATGTCAAACAGATATGCAGTGCATAGACATATGTATGATTTTGTATCTGACGCTTAGGAAGTACGCTTTATTTTCTGCACGGCTGGACTCTCGTAAAATAACGAGCATTTTGTAGCGTGTAAGGCTTCAGACTTGTTAGTCATGTGTTTAGGTTTCATTTCTATTTTCAATGATTCATGCAGGGTTACTTAGGCGTTTTCCTCTTTACTTAAGTTTGTCCGGGAGTCTAGATGGTATACATAACTTCTCCGTCAATACAAAGGGCCAACCTTATACACCTCGCAAATCACGCCAGTGCCAAGTAAAGAAATATTGTTCGGATAATTATTGTTGCTTCGCTGGCTTTTACGCTTAGATATTGAGGTAAGTTTTAGCATTAAATAGAAAACCTTACATAGTTAAAAATTCTGCTCAGCTGAGCGTCTATGCAATGTCCCGTTCAAAACTTTCGTAGCACGAAATTCGAGTCCTAATAGCGGCCATACAAACAATATATTACAATTTCTGTTAGTAGTTCCTGATAGACTACTATATTACCTAACTGTAAATAAAAAAATGAAAGAAATGAAAGGCTTTTTTTTTTTTTTTAGAAAATCGACTTCAAACTTGCAAGTCTTTCTAAATATTCGTTTTTCAGGCAAACTTTCCGCGTTATATGTTTACCGTAAAATATCCAAATTATATTTAAAAGAAGGAGCTTACTTGGCGATTTACGGTGATTTAAAGATCATAGAAATATATTGATTAGGTCACACAGTAATAGCTTCCTGAACTTCATGAAATATTGTTGCAGAGAGGCGGTTTGACAATTAAAAATTATATTAAACATATTATGACCTAGACGCTTTATTAGCATACCTCGCCGTTGCATCTTCTTTTATTAAAAGAATTTACAGGTAGTTACTAAAAATATCAGAGGCGCTAATTAAGAGTTAGTGTATTTTTCTGAGGCAGTTGTATTACTGGGCGACAAGTTTTTATAGCCGCCATACAAGCAAAATGGTACATTTTCTGTTTATTTTACTTTATAAAGCACTGCAATAGGTAGCTAGAAAAAAACAACTAGCCAAAAGAAAAATTAGGCTCTTTAGAAAATCGACCACCAATTCGCAAAATGTTTGAAATAGTCCTTGATTTACGAAACAGTGCTGCCCTTTTTCTTTTACACACACAATCAAGTTTGATATCTTTATAGAGAGTATACCCTAAGCTTTCTGAAAATATTAAATATATTAAGAAACCTCATATAGGTCACACGGAAGAGCTGGTGAACTTTCACAAATATCGTCTAAAAACATCATATTGACAAATTTTCTAAAGTATGTTTCATATAAACAATCGCGTTAAAATATTTATCAGAGAATAACAGTGTTCACGGTATCTAATAAAAAAAAGAGCCGCCAATTTTGAATTAGTGTATTTGTGCCAGTAAGTTTATTTACTGTCAAAACAGTCAAACAAAATCAGAGTTCAAGCTCTTATATCTGCCATAGAAACAAAATTTTACATTTTCTATTTATATTACCATATGAAGCACTGCGATAGCTAGCTATCGAAAAGCAAATCAGCCAAATAAATTTTTTTTTTTTTTTAGAAAATGGACCTCCAATTTTCTAATATTTTGAAATAGTTCTTGTTTTACGAGACTACACTGCCCTTCCTCTTTTACACACAACGTTAAATTTGCTCTCAATAAAAAGAATATGCTCTTAGCTTTCTGAAAATACTAAATATGTTACGATATCTCAAATAGGTCACACGGAAGAGCTGGTCAAACTTTGACAAATATTGTCAAAGGGACACAATTTGACAATATTTAAAACAAAAGTGAAGATAAATAATCGCAAAAAAATTATTGACCATAAATAATCCCTATTTTGAGAGTGACCCAAAAAAAGGTACACTGCACTACCGAAAAATGGTAAAACGTAGAAAGCAGGAAAACATGACACCTCCGACCGACGAGAGGAAGGTCAGTTTGCACCTCGGATGCTTAAAATGTCCATAACTCGAGAACGGAAAATCGCCCAAACTCGCGGTGTGCACTCCCTGTCGCAGAAGGGATTTCCCCAAAACATATATTTTATTGGTCAAAATTAAAAATTTGATCCCAAATCCGTGCTTGAGCTGATATGAAACAACCCATACGTATATGCACTGCATATCTGTTTGACATAAGAAAATATGACAATTACATGTCTAGCTCGGTATTTCAAACTCAAAGCCGAAAGCAAAAGGCCCCAGAGGAATTTTTTAACGATCTGCATTCCCTCGTATTGAGAGAAAGTAAGGGCTGGTGCCCGCACTCGTGAATACAGACTTCTAAGTAACTTTTTTAAAGTACACTACTCCAAATTTTATTAGTGTTTATGGTTGGATATTGAGGTAACTGCTAACGATAAGTAGAAAACCTTAAATAGGCCAAAATTGTGCTCTGCACAGCGCCTGTGCGAAGATCCGTTCAAAACGCTCATAGCACGAGATTCGAGTCTTAATAGTGGCCCTACAAACAATATACTACAATTTGTGTTGGTAGTTCCTAATATACTATTATATTACCTAACTCTGAATAAACAATATAACTAAATAAAGGGTGTTTTTTTTTTAAGGTCGACTCCAATCTTGCTAGTTTTTCGAAATATCCGTTTTTCAGGCACATGGAGCGCATCATACATTTATTGCACAATATTGAAACTATATTCAAAAGAAAGAGCTTCACGAGAGCTTTCCAATGGTGTAAAGATAATAAAATACGTTGATTAGGTCAGACAGCACAGCTCGCTGAACTTCGTCAAATATCGTTGCAGAGAGGCGGGTTGACCACTAAAAAAATACATTAAGAATGTTATGACCTAGACGCTTAATCAGCACAAAAAAGCTTATGCTGAGAGTGCTCCCAAAAAGTTATATTGATGTAGCGTAAAAAGTAAGGAAAAGGGATGGAGTGAAATATGGCACCCCCGATAAGCTGGAAAAACGAGTTTCCACCTTGGCCGCTTCAACGGTCTATAACTTGAGAACAAAAAATCCGACAAACTCGCCGCTTGCGTCTTCTTTTATAATAGGAATTGTCCGATAATATTTATTTTCTTCAAACCAATTAAAAATTTGACCCAAAATTTGTGCCTTAGTTGAGATGAAATCACCCATATATATATATATATATATATATATATATATATATATATATGGGAACATACAAATTTGAATGCCGTGTCGGAAAACCCCAGGAAAAGAAGACAAGCGGAAGCAGGGATTCATTTGTTGATAGTTTCACCTTTAACAATCTCAGCTTTTAACCAAATTCATGTTTGTGGTGGGCGATTCAGACGAGCCAAATGCACTGTTACCCCGAATTGTACGAGTTTTTTTTTTTCAACAACCTCACCGCTTAACTCTAACAAAATCCCGGCCCTCGTTTCAACTTAACAACAGTTGCTTCCCGATGTTGCTGTCCGCAAGACGAGCAAGTGAAGAAGGGGGTTTGGAAGGTCACTCTTGAAAAATACAATACCTTCTTCGTGAAGGTTAGGTTCGTTGTTCAACTTCGAAGGTGGGGGAGAAGGGGCGAGGGAATAAAGGTTAATTTTTTGCGTATCTTTTAAGTGACCAATGTTCGGTATACGAAGGTGTGTTTGATGTCTGGTAACCTGTTGTTTTATTGAAACCTCAAGTCTCTTTCTGGAAGTTCAGTGCTAGCTGTAGTGGGCCTTAGATTTCTGGGTATATGAGGATCCGTGAAAGCCAAAAAAGTAGCTGAGCTCGAAACGTCCTCTTACAGTGTTTTTATTTTTCAAACTTCGGCTAAAAGATTTGCTTTTTGAGTCTCAATCTTGCGAACCGGAAAAAGAATCGCTGTCCCCTAGCTCTCGTGCACCCGACTGTTACCAATCGAGTATCACACAAAATAAACCCTGAGTTAAGTAACCAAAAAGATAACGAGACCCTGCGCTTCAAAAAGATAGGTTTTTTTTTATACTTGTTAAGTTTCCATCTTAGAAATAAAATAAAAATTACTCCACTGGAAGGAAACAAATGAACGCCGTTCCTTCTTACATTTCAATTAAAATGTAACGAGTGTCGTTCCTGTTTCATTGATGCAAAAGGGAGCGGCGGCGTTCTTTCGTTCCTCCTAAAAGGAACGGGTTCCAGGAACGCCGTTCCGTACAACACTGCGCGAAACTGTGCCCTTACCTTCACGGGGTTGCTCAACGCGCGTTCTGCGTGCGTCTTTTTCCAAATTAAAATGCATTTTTCGTTTTCCCTTTAAGCTCTTGGTGAAATAACAAATAATATTTTCATAATTGCCATGGATATGTTTATAGTACCTGACTGCTTAAGAGGCACAGGGTGTGGCGTGTTCCAGGCATCTCATTACCGCTCAGCACCCAATGATATTGTGGCATAAGCCGTTACAAATACCGAAGAAGCAATCACAGAGCAAGACGTGTGAGCACAGTAAACGCCGTCATGTTTTTCTTCAGTTGAATATTTTCAGTCAAATGGAAAAAGATTGCCATGCTTGATTACAGATGAAGTCCAGACGCAGCCGGCGCCACGAGGTAATGCAGACAATGATGGCAACGTCAAAAGCACGCCACTTGGCTTTTTCTCTTTATGAATGGTTCAGTTATGATAGAACTCGTACAGGAACACGATGAATACCATGACAGTGCACTTTTGAAACCGTCTCATTGGTCCCACCAGCTCGAAGCATCGGCTGCGTCGGGAGTTTAGTTGAAACGAAGTATAATGGTGTACTTGCCTGTCAGATGAATCCATTGGGGTCAACAGCATACCACGCATTATGTCGTCCAACTCGTTATGGTACAAGCTGAATGGTTGAAAGTACCAGTCTCTTAGTAGGCCGACCTGTTCTTGGTCGTCGGCGTTTACTCTGAAATGGATGTGAAAGAGATCTTTGGTTTTTTTTTTAAATGCTTCAAGCGAGACGCCGTTGCCATTGATAGAAATACGAACGAAAATACTTTTGCATCAAGCACGAGACACGAATTTAAAACAAAAAAACGGGAAATTTCTTTTAAAATCATTTCATTATTGGTACGGTTTAGGGACCCCAGTCTAAATTTATCCTGGGAGATTCATACCGAAGTTCAATAATTTACCACTTTTTATTGCTTTTAAAAAAGAAACAAACAGTATTTTAATGAAAATTGTTATGCTGTCTCAGTGGAAAAAGCGACGCATGTCGTTTTTCCGCTAAGACTTCATCACCGTATAAAAATGCGATTGGGTAAAAACAAAATGAGCTATATCTGGAGGTGTAAACTTCAATTCCTTGATCGATTGAATAGCCTAATTATTAACAAAAAGTTGCTTGGCCGCAGGAAATGCAATCTGGTTCATTAGTTATAAACAAGTGTTAACAAATTGAAAGGAAATATTAAGCTTATCGGAATTTCTATAGCATCGTGGACGGGAGGTTCTGGATATCTGGTTCTGGTAGAAACAAAAAGTCACTCTTAAAGCAAAATATTTCAACTTGTACTTCAATGGAACTAATCTGATCGTTCTACGCTATGCATCCAGGTTATTGATTCAATGGATACACAATAAAGGAGGGGTTTCATATTTTTGATTATACTGCAATGAAATGCCAAGGTGCAAGCGAGCTGGACAAGAATGACGAAAATAATCCCTGGAGAAGGGGAACAAAAGGGACAAAGGACAAACACAAATCTCCAAACACAGCTAGGCGACTGGTGAGCGACCGAAAAAATCCGCCTGGTCCGGGTATCGAACCCGGGACCTCTCTATTACAGGTCGAGAGGTCCCGGGTTCGATACCCGGACTAGGTGGATTTTTTCGGTCGCTCACCAGTCGCCTAGCTGTGTTTGGAGATTTGTGTTTGTCCTTTGTCCCTCTTGTTCCCCTTCTCCAGGGATTATTTTCGTCAGGGGTTTCATAGTTTTTCCTTCGACTAACCGAAGGAAAATTCCGCTGACGAGAGAGTGTCCCATTCTGAACGCCGCTCCGGGAAATTCGTCGATCAAGGTGGCGTCCACGGTGCTGTCGTACGTCGTGAATCCCGATTGCAATGGCACCAAGTCATACTTTTCGACGGCGTCGCGACCCGCGAACGTTGGTAGCCACTCTCCGTATACCACGTGTTGGAATTGAGACTCCACGATACGTCTGCAATAGAGTGAGGTATATTACATTCGCGGTTGAGAGGTTATTTTAGCAACGTGTCATTTTTTTTTTCGAAACTAAAGTAGTGACGGATAGGTGGACACGCAATTACTTAATTATAAAAATATCACAGTATCAAAAAGCACGCATCTAATTTATTTTGCAAGAAGAACTTGGAGAGTTTCAATGTAATTATCAAGTTTCCAATGTAAAACTCTGCATGACGCCCAACATAATCATGTCCCAATAGGTCTCCCACCAAAAACGCTATTTTTACGTTTAAAAAATGTTTGCGCATTCTCATTTGCCTTGCTCTTTGCGTTCATCGCACTGATTGTTTCTCACAGTTTTCAGTGCGAATCAAGACGCAATGCAGTTTTTTAGAGTGCCGACGGAATATTTTTATCGGCACATCAGTCGCCTAGATGGCGCGAGTAGCGCTCGATATCAGGTGTAAGTCAAGTTTTACTTACGTAGGTTTATAGAAGGATGAGTGGATACCACTACTCTAGATAGAACGTAACTCCCGCCTTCTTGATGTCTGGTGTGTCGCTCGCACGGGACCCGAACTTAGAGAGCGCGTAACGCACTTAATTTGAAGGCAAAATAATTTATTTCCACTTTCAGTATCGAACTTTAAAATTGGAGGTTTCGGCTTCTAACTGCCCGCGGCGTGTGTAGTCAGTGAGTCATTCACTGTTACCTACACGAAAGTCTTGGCAAGGAACGGGTACAAGACGCCTAAAAAAACATTTCTACCTAAAAATCAATCCTCCACTGACATTTTTAAAATGCGATAAATATGCGGAACTTTTCAATCAATGATACATCACGCACATTGGCTTCGGACTGCGAACATAATGCGCGAGGACGAGTATTATACCGTGAAATCAATTTGTAAATTATAACCACACAAATTTCCACCTTACTTTGAAACTTGAAAGAGCCTTTCGTCGCTCCAGTCTTTGTTTACAGACCGTAACATCTTTGCCATTCGGTTGTGTTGTCGCATAAATAGGGTCTGTATCACAGTAAGTCCGGGTGATTGATTAACTCGAGCATCACCTGAAAATAAATCTTTAAGTACATGTAACAGAAAGAGAACAGAGTTGATGCAGTTGGATTTAGTGAATGCGTCACAGGGTGCTGGATTTAATTCCGCCTCGCAGCCCTTTCATAATTGGGTGAATTTGTCGTTAAATAAAGACAAATGTTAACTCTAGCCTAGAAATGACCAGCGCTCACTCTTCTTAAAGCTACCGAAAGTCTTACGGGCAGGTTTTTCTGGGTACACTGAAGTGCATAGGGCTAACAGAATTCTGCCGCGGAGCTAAGAGACGTAAGTTGCATTTGTATTGAACTTGCTTTGTTGCTTGTTTTTTTTTTTTTTGGTTTTTAAATCTACTGTTCTCTGCATTAGGTAATATTATATAACTTTTTATCTTTTTTTTTCTCTTCCTTTTAATATGTATACCCTGTGTGTGAACTCGCATTGCCGCTGCTGCTGAAAGTTTTGTGGTGCTGGGAACTCGTCAAACTGTCCATGCAGCTTTTTTTCCCAGCCCCCGCCATTGTAAAAAATGGTAAATAAACATTGAATTGAATTGAATTGAATTGCTTTGTAAATTGCCCATAAATTTAGTGGCCGGATAGCATAAAACGGTGAAAGGCATTGCAACAAGGAAAAGGAAGTAAGCAATTTAAATTTGTAATGGCAAACAATAATCAAGCTGTGAGGCCACACCGTATGACTTTTTGAAGTAAAGCCCTAGCATTCAAACCAGGAATTACAAGGCAATGTTCGTCAAGTGCTGCTGTCTTTGGAAGGTTTTCCAAAGAGTCTTTGGGAATCGCTGGGGCCTCTTTGCTAAACTTATACTAATGGTCTCCAGCATGAAGTTGTCAATAGCACATAAGTACAATTGACAGAATTTACTCTGCTCTGTACATGTCGTTTCATGAAAGTTGCTGCTTTGTGAGAAAGCATTCTGCTGCAGTTGCTTCATTCAGAATGAGTGATGCAATAATCCTAGTGTTAATGACGCTTACCCGATACGAAGCAAATTTTATCTTTGCTTGGAACGCTGCACCCGTCTCTTTCTGGATTTGAACTGGGTGGTAGAAGTTCTTCTCCATTCACCATATTGGAGCGCAGAAGTCCTAAAATGCGTACACGCGAACAATAAAGATAAAACAAACCTCATTTTATGTTTACCAATGAAAGCAGCACAAGATGACCCTTCTCGTGCTATTTTGATTTCTACTCAAAATGTTGAAAGCCGTGTTTTCATTGTCGCGTTTTTTTTCAGTAGCGGACACTAAAACACATTAATATGAATGATATCGTGCATAACGTTATCCATAGTTGGCGCCTGATAATGAAATGTATGTTCTTGAGTGGTGTTTTCATGTATTTAGAGGCAAATGGATGATTAGTTGACTATTTCATATCCCTGTATATTTACCGCTACTCTGTGTAGTTTTGCTACGCTGTTGATTTCAACACAGATATTCCTTACGTTACGATCGGCACGCTTAGTACGATCACTATATGGTATGTTATAGATAATGCTATGAATATGTTGTATACGAAACCCTCCTTTATCGCCGGTGCGTGACAAATAGGTTTTGTTTATTTCGACCGCAAAAGCTCAGCTCTTTGAATTTAGTCCCCATTTGTAAGTATACATAGAATGTCTGGGGATGAACGTACCATATTGAAATGAGCGAAGAATGTCCGTCTCTTCCTTTTTGACGCCATAAACTGCCGATGCGTCAAGGTATGACGTCTTGTCGTCTATTTGCAATCTGTAACCTAAAATAATCCGAGTCAGGTCACTCTTATGAGGAAAGAGAATTATCCACACCTTTGCCATGAATGTTCTCCAGTCTAACTTGCGCCAACGCCACCTCAAGAGTCGTTCATACCGTTCGTGTTTTCTTCTTAACCTCGCTGCTTTGTTCTCACGCGTGCTGCACCACGAGGGTGACGTTGTACAGCATCAACATATTATTTATTTATTTATTTGAAAATACTGCAGGCCTTTCCCTGGCTTTGGCAGGTTACAGGAAACAATACACAATAGTACCATATGCAGCGCTAAAAAAAAACAAAAAAACGACAATACATAAATACATAACGACGGAGAACATAGTACATTAAAAATTCCATAAAGCAATGATACAAAAATTAAAAACTTACAGTTTTCATCTCATTCAGCAAAGGGTACTGTACAGAAATACATGCTTTCATCAGATTACATTCGACGAATGCTGATACAAAAAAGATGAATTTTTACGATATCCTACATGTTAAAATCAATGACATTTTGGCTATAAGATTTTCTAAAGGTGCTTAGTCAAGCCACCTACGAACGACCGCGTTTCGCAAATTTTGAATACATCCTCCGGCAACAAATTCCAATCTTTAATCCTGTGAACAAAGAGCGAATACTTGAACGTGTCATTATGGCTGATGTACGGTTTGATGATTTTGCTTTGGTTAGTTCGATTAGAGTGACTATGTGGTTTTCTCAAATAGTTATCTGCTCTCATCTTAAGGTGACCATGATAAAGTTGATGTAGGAACTTTAAACGCGCAATAATCCGTCTAACACCAAGACATTGCTTTTTCGATTGTTCAAGCAAATCCGACATGCACTCCGCGCGCCTATATTTTGAAAAAAAATAAACCTTAAACCCCATTTTTGAATTTTTTTTAGACCGTACGAAAGACTTAGTTGGTTAGGGTCCCAAATGATGCTTGCGTATTCTAACGTAGGCCAAATTAATGTCTTATAGGCGTTTTGTTTTTTGCATTCTAGTTTTGTATTTTTTAACTGTCTCCTCAGAAAGCCCATTTTTTGGCGAGCAATATTGCACACATAATGAACATGCGCGTCCCAGTTTAAGTCCCGTGTTATTTCAACTCCTAAGTATTTAACTTGCTTTGTTTTAATTAGGGAGGTAGAACAAATCTCATATTTATATTCAAGAATTTCCTTTTTTGTGGGTTATTGTCATTGCTACCGATTTCTGGTAATTAATATTCTGTCCCCATTCCAAACACCATTTTGATAAAGCATGTAATGACGAATTCAAATTTTCTTGATCGTTCTGCTCAGTTACATTAGAGTATAAGACGCAGTCGTCCGCTAAAAGTCTGACTTTTGTTGATGGATTATGACTTCGATCTGCGCGCTTCGACGTTTCTATAACGCACGCCGTTATAGGGCTTACTTCCCGGAGATGTGTGAGACGTTACTAAATTGCGTGACGAGCAAACGTCACACGGCCGCTAAATTTATCGGGATTACGTCCCCCTAAATTTGGCTGACTTTAGTAAGTCCGCTAATTAATTATATAATTGAAATAGTTTATTAGAATTCTCACGGGTAGCGACACGGGTAGCGACAATCGGCGTTTCTGCCTGATGAAGACATTTACCCCCAAGTTTACAACAGGGAGCTAACGTATTTTTCAACTGCTATTTCTAATCTAAATGCCAGCACGTTTTGTTCAATATATCGGCGCGTATGCGCCAATATATTGAAGCTTAAAGGGTGGATCATTGATTGGCCTTTGAGTGTGATCGACTGCACTGCAGACGCATGGGCTTGGTGACGACGATAAAACACACCGGCGACATCTATCGACTAGCCAGTGAAGACGTAAGATCTGCGTATATTTATGGATAATTGCTTTGCAACGTACTTGAAACTTTTACTACTCGTTACAAGTTGCCATTTCTCAGAGATAATGCATAGATTTGAACTGGCAGAGGCTGCAAAACGTTCAGTCTAGTTATACGCCGATCGGAAGGGTTCCAGAATCCCCGCATAGATGGAGTCAGTGTGCTTTTCTCGTCTTAAGTGGCCGCAGGAGGCTGAAGTGTGATTGTACTCAAATACGAAGAACCCATTTTAAAACACGTGAGAAGGTCGAAAGATGTATTTCGTCGTATTAGCTCACCAAGTTTGCATTCGAAGCAAGGAGTCGCTCGAACAAGGTTAAGGCAGCGCAGGCTGGTGTTCCCGTAGAAAGGATCGTCGTCCTCAACAGCGATAGGGATGCACTGAGGGGAAGCCCGCTGCGGGTAGTTGCAACAGCTGAGCGCGGCGCCGGGACCTGGCAAAGAAAAAAGAAGTTTCGCCTCGGCAGAACAAAGGCTTTTTATTTATCGTCAACAGCTTAAGATTTAAATATTGCACGCACCTGCGACCGCAGCCTGCATGCACCTGTGTTTGCCGGTTGCACCCATATGTACCTACTTCTTGTACCAAACATAATCCAAAGGGTAATTATGGCGTGCAGAGATTACTAAAGCTATACGAATACCATTATTTTCCTTTCTTGAAGCCGTTACACCACGTCAAACTGATGCGAAGTCAGTACCATTGAAACTCCCCAATTATTAACTTTCAGCCTGCCATCATCTCGATACTGAGCAAATAAAGTCTCTTAAAAACTCTTAAAACGTCTCGAAAAAGGTCTGCAAAACGAAGCGGACACTGATTCAAAAAATAACTTTAGATCGACTAGGCGCCTTCGGGATCGCTGTCTCAAAGACAAATTGGAATAGTATACTTTGCGAATTTAGTGCCGATGGTGCTTACAACACTTTTATTGAATTATTTCTTAGTTTGTATAAGACATATTTCCTTTCACACTTAAAAAAACAAATGAACGCATAAGAAAACCTTGGATAACTCCAGAGCTACTTTGTAAAATTAAAAAAAAAAAGTCTTATATGGTAAATTCGCAAAGTCAAGAGATCAGAGTGACCTATCAATATTCAAAGCTGTCGCAACAACTTAACGAAAGAAATACGGCGTGCGAGACAGCTTTTTCATTTCGATATGTTCAAAGCCATACAGGGTCGTGCACACGTCATGTGGAAGCAGCTAAACTCTCTTTATCATCGTGATCGCCCATCCAGTTCTATTGAAAAAAATTATGCATGATGACACTGAGCTTGCTGGTTAC